TATAATTTTAATTATTTTAATATATTTGAATAATTTGAAATTTAAACTCAATGTTTCTTTCATTCATATTTCACCATTCTATTTAATATAATTTTAATTTAATTTGCTATTAAATTGTTATTGTAATATGTATTAGATATGTTATTGAAGTTTGTTAAATGTTGTTGTTGCTATTGAAGTTATGAATTTAAATCATTTGTTTTGTAACTAAAACATTTTTGTTGCTGTTGTTAAATATTGTTATGGATTTTTTATTATTATAAGCATTTTTATTATTTTAATTGAGTTTATCAGGAGAAATGAATTGTTATCTCTCATATAGGAAAAAAGAAAAAATAAAAATTAAGTAAGTATTGAACTATCGAGACTGATCTCCTAATCTTCTGGATTAAGTTGGTCCTATTAATCTTTGAGTTACAATTGGACTAAACTGTACTATAGAATTTTTTTTTTTAGCCAAAACTGTACTATAGATTGCCTAATCCAATGCTTTTTGTAAAAGATACCAGAATTTAGATTAGGTTAAAATCTAATTTTATCCTATCTTTTACATAGGCTTGATGGAGAGATTATAGAAATATCATCATCATCACCCACACGGAGCTGCTTGCTAGCACAGGTTTATTGACCTAGGACTGGAACATCAGCACTATGGGCAACAGATTTAGTTGCGAACTATTTGGTCACTGCTGCAAATCATGAAGTGTTGAAGTGATCTGTGCATTGACTAATCTTTTTTCATTTGCCAAGTAACCTGTACTGGGTGTATGAATTTACTTGTAACTATTGGGTCATGTAATACATTGCCATGTAAAATCTTCAGTTGATTTAAAAACCAGAAAAATTAAAGACCCACTGGTGGTGTCCAAGAGGAATCATCAGAAAAGAAACATTTGTAGTAAGTGTTGTCTAAAAAATTATATATCTTTGAGCTTATCTGGTTGGCGAAGGTAAAAAACAAATCTTTATGTTAACAGAGAGATGAAAACCCTGTAAAAACATACAAGGCAAAAGAGGCTTGGATTAGTGGAGGTGGGAGGAGGAGGAGGAGACATAATTTTCCCACGAACTCAACTTGCCATCATTCAACACTTGTTCGATGATTCAACTTTGTGCCTTACTATTATTGATTACGTGGGCCGTCTAACAAAGATATATGTGAGGCCTGGATTTGTAGGGTACAACGACAAGAACTAATGCTAGGCACTCAAAACTCGTGCCATTCTTCTTTACTCTTTGGCTGGTGGCTACATTAACTCCTTTCCTTCCTCTTCAGCTCATCTCTCTACCTTTGAGACAAGATGGGTACCCTAGAAGGAGAACGAACAATTGGATGGGCTGCACGAGAGGCTTCTGGGATTCTCTGTCCATACCCTTTCACTCTAAGGTTGGTCATTTACTTTCATAAAAAAAAATCTCATCTTTCTGCGTCTTGGTTCTTCATTTTTTTTTCCCCTCAATCAATGTTTGATATTTTGTGATACTTTTCAGAAACACGGGGCCTGAAGATGTGTATATCAAGGTTCGCTGCTGTGGAATCTGCCACACTGATTTACATCTTACTAAGAATGATCTTTTTTTTAGCATCTAACTAAGAATGATCTTGGAAAATCCAAATATCCCATAGTTCTTGGGTAAACATCTTGTAACCTATTACATTATTTTCTAATGGCTTTCTCTGCTTGTGGGTTTGAGGGCTGATGAGTGTTCTTATATCTAAGGCATGAAGTGGCTAGCGCAGTGATCGAGGTGGTCCCGAACGTGACCAAGTTTAAGGTCAGAGACGCAGTCGAAGTTGGGATCGGGGGTTGCTGAAATTGCAAGGCATGAAAATCTGATATCGAGCAATATTGCATAAAGAACACCCGGACTTACAATGATGCGTACACGATGGAAGGCCCACCCAAGGTGGCTTTACCAAAACCATGATCGTCGATCAAAAGTAATCAATCGTCATCTTTTCACTAATTGCAAAGTTTTATGCTTTATGCTCTTTAAAAATTCCTTCAAAACCTCACTTGACCCAAAAACATCATAAGTGCTTGCACTTTTTCACGGATTATGAAGCTGCGCTTTCTTGATTGGGTTTTCAGCTTTGTCGTGAAGATACCAGAGGGGATGTTGCCAGAGCAAGTGGCTCCACTGTTGTGGGCCGGCATGACAGTGCACAATCCACTGTCACACTTTGGACTGAAATAAAGTGGGCTGAGAGGAGGAATGTTAGGGCTTGGAGGAGTAGGACACATGGGTGTGAACATAGCAAAAGTGATGGGACGCCACGTGACAGCGATAAGCTCTTCGGATAAGAAGAAGCAGGAGCACTTTGAAGCACCTTGGAGCAGACACATATGGATCATGTGCAGTAATAAAGCGTATAATGGCGGGGAAGTAAAACATCTTGACTGTAAATTTTGATCTAATAGTTGGTAAAAAATAGATTGATAAAAAAGTTTTCATTTGTAAAAACATACAATCACATTTTATTTAAAATAAAATTTTATATTTTTAATGAATTTATTAATTATTAATTTGAATAACATAAATTTTATCATTCAATTTGATATTATTTTTTTATTTTTTATAAATTAACAATCTAGATATACTCTAGATAGTTTAGATTTGAACATAAAATTTTTTTATAATCTTTATAATTTTTTATAAATACAATATTATAAATAAAGATAACATTTCAAGAACTTTTCAACAAATATTTTTTAAAAAAATTACAAGTTAAAAATTTTATATATGAATAAAAATTAAATTAAATTGTTTAAAGTATATCTGGATAGTTAATTTATAAAAAAATAAAAATAATATTAAACTAAACTATCCAAATAAAATCTGTATTATTCAAATTAACAATTAACAGCTTTATTAAAAATATTATATTTTTTTATAAATTTTTATTTTAAATAAAATGTGATAGTATTTTTGCAAATGAATAGCCTTTTTATACGCCTATCTTTTATTAGCCATTAGAATAAAATTCACGGTCTTTATATTTTACTCTTCTAGTTCTATTTATAAGTTATTTTTAATATATTTTACCAATATCAATAAAAACTTTAAAACTCATTAACTTCTATTTTAAAATTTAATAATTTATTAACTTTATACTTATTAAATATATATATATTTTAATAATATATTTTTTCTCTCTAGCGTTCACTGAAAGATAAAAAAAATTATGATGAAAATTTAATGATATAATTATAAAAAAAACTGAAAAATTTGTTTTCTCTCTTTTATAAATAAGGTCAGAGGGACTACTTTCCAACCACTGCACGCTTTATTACTGCACATGATCCATGTCCGACAAGGATGTGGTTAGCTCAGACGAAACTCAGATGCAGAAGATTGCTGATTCACTTGATTATATCATCGATACCGTGCCAGCGGGTCAACCTCTTGAACCTTATCTTTCTCTGCTCAAAGTTGATGGCGCGTTGATCTTAATGGGTGTCATCAACACTCCTCTGCAATTGGTCACCCCCATGGTCATGCTTGGTACTCTCTCTCTCTCTCTCTCTCTCTCTCTCTCTCTCTCTCTCTCAATACATCTCTCTGTAATTCCTTGTTTGCGAGATTGACAAGTTTATTTTCTTGGCAGGGAGGAAGATGATAGCGGGAAGCTTCATAGGGAGCATAAAGGAGACGGAAGAGATGTTGGGAGTTCTGGAAAGAGAAGGGTCTGAGTTCAATGATAGAGATGGTGAAGATGGATTACATCAACAAAGCCTTTGAAAGATTGGAGAAGAATGATGTCAGATATAGGTTCGTTGTTGACGTTGCTGGCCGCAAACCTCATCTTACTCGGTTAAACACCCGCCACTTGTGTAATTCTTAAACATCACCTTGCACAATTTATGATTGTCATTACTTAAAGTTGTTTGCTGTGTTGTTGAAAAAAATGAATAAATGATGTTAGTAATGGCTATTCCTTCCTAATTCAGTCGCGCCCTCGCAAGCAAATACATTTCTGTCTAATGATTTCACTTTGCTATTTTTGGAAACTCGATATTCGATGAACAAGTATGCTTACCAGAGAGAGGCCACACCTAATTTTAACAACATTCGCAAAAAAAAAAAAAAAGGTGTGTTCAGTTGGTTGAACGAATTGAATCTGTCAGTGTATTTTTAACTCACTTCACTCGTTGAACAAATATCCAACATGAACCAAATGGGTGAAGAAAGTTGATTATTTTACTTCTTCTGCATGTTAAGGAGAATATTTGAATGTTACATGACTTGAAAGCAGGCATAATATAAAAGTAGAAAACTGACCGTGGTTTATATAGAACTGACTGAAACGAAGAAAAATAAGAAAATTTAACAATGAAAATAATTTTTTATTTTATTTATTTAACAAATAAAAAATAAAAAGCATTAAGTAATTATTAGTGTTATTATTTCTACTTCTTACCATTTAAAATAATTAATGTATAATTAAAAATATATGACGACCATAACCCTTTAATTAAACCGTGACCAATTGATTGATTCGATCGGTTTAATAGTCAATATGTTTTTCACTACCTCGTGCTCGCCCAAGTAGCCCAGACTTTGGATCCTTTCCACGAACCAAATATAGAGGGTGTATTAAGTAGAAAGTCACATAAAAGATAATTATAGTATATAAAGCTCATACCATAATGAGGCTTACTCTATTTTTCTTTAAATGCACAATCTCCACATTTTAACTCTGCAAAAGGCCCAATTTCCCCTTCCAATAAATCCTTCTTCATCAAAAATGCTTCCAATTAACAAATGGGGCCTAAATAATCTAAGTTGAAGCCCATACTTCGGCCTGTCTTTTAAAAAAATTAAAATTAATTTATTGGCAAGTCTTCTCTCCTACTCATACTGACAAGACGACATTTTTCAACACAAGGCCACTAGCCAACCCAGCCATTGAAAGACCGCGAGTACTCATATTTGTATAGTATATATCCTTTTCTATTTGTTACTTCACTGTTCAGCCACCAGACTTTTGAGAAAGCTTACGATTTAAAACAAAAATTCATTTTTGGGAGAACGATGCCACAATGATATGGAGAAGATCAGAATTCTTTTTTACATCAAGTAGTTTCATTTGAACAAATATTCCCTATAAACTATTAAAAAATTGCACTTCCTATCCTGACTTTACTACAAACAATTCATCTTCCACGGGCAGTGGTAGAAGACCTAGAAGAAGGCCTTATTGGCCATTCCATCCCTACCATACAAGACAAACAATCAAACATTATAGCCTTCTCAAGTTGATGCAGTCTTCCGAATGCTGTAAAACCTCAAAGATGACAGATCAAAAGTGTTAGCTGGACTGATCACATTTGTCGACTGAAGAACACGTTCATGAAATATTTAGAAGGATTGAAGCCACCCAAAATCACTGCAAATCAGAATCTGAGTTCAGGAACAATATTAACATGTCATGAAAATACAAATGGCAAGCATCTTCAACACTTACAAATAGGAGAAAGGATGATGACGATGCCAATCGGGTACAGAAAAAAAGTAGTCCTCTCCAAAAAGGGTAGAACTGCAGCCACAGATGATAATCCATTAACTCCATTTTATTCAGCATGCTGACTAAGGATGACAGACCTAGCCTTGAAAGTTCTTTTTTCACACTATATGAGATGGAGTTCAAGACTAACAGTTCAAGAGAATGAACCTCCTAAATTTTAGGGTAAAATTAAATACTCCCTCCAAACCAAAATATAGAGTATTGATAATTAGTTCATAGTTCTCAAAAACTCTTAGTTGAAACCTTAACTTCTTAAAAAAATTTACATTTTTCCAATTATACCCTCATTAAATACTCTATATATGTTCCTTATTAATAATTAAAATTCCAATGCATCATTTTATCAAAAATAATAATAAATGAAGTAGGGGTGTGAGCGAAAAAATAATTATAAAAGTTACTCAATGCGTTATATTTTTAACCAGGCAAAATTTCTAAAAGATGCTCTTATATTGTGGCCTGAAGAAAGTAAAATTCAGCACAGAACAAAATAAAAGAAAAATGTTATCCAGCTTTGCAAATCAAACGTCAAACATACTGCGAATACTGTAACCAGAGTGTGAGAAAGCCTAATGCCTGACACCTCAAGTATAACTGAACAAATAATATTGATTTACTGCCATCGAGCAGATTTATGCTCACAGTCTAAAGCTGAAAAGAGAATATTTTCCAGGCTACAGCCACACCCAAGGAAAATATATTAATGAAATACCACAGGATCTAAATATCAAGAGTCGAGCTAGATGGAAACTTTGTCGAGATCATTAATATGTTATGCACTCAAAAGAGAAACAGAGAGCATTACCGTCATAACCTAAGAAATTGAGATAGTGATAGTATGAAGCGCCCACCATGAACAGCAAATTTGACAGCAATGCAGGAATGAATCCATGAGCCACCAATAGAGGAGACAGAAAATAATGGATCACTGCCGAATGATCAGGCATCAGTACCACTATGATGCAATACATAACAGTTGCAAACATTACAACAGCTTCTATAATAGCGAAAGAGTAAGGGACTACCATAAAGCAAAACAAACATAGGGAAGAAGGAGTTGCAGTGCACATCAAACGCATACAGCCTTCCATGGAAAACCAAAAAAGAAGAATCAGATATTAGAAAACAATTAGTAAAATTCTAAAGCAAAGGGGCAAATATTCAACAGCCCCAAATTTATCAATGATGTTAAAATTTTAATAAGCATTGCCAAATTGTCAATTAAACGAATCTATTTACATGCACTGGTAATGGAAGATCAACTTCTTCAGCCATGACAAATGATGCAGCAAACAACATTTTCCAACCTACCATTCAACACGCTGCTCAACTACATAACTGTTAGGAGCCTCTTCTCGAAGATAAGAATTAGTCAAGAACCTGGAGATGTCATGGGTTTAAAAGATACATTAGTTATTGGATCAGGATCAAGTGATTCAGACGAAAAGGATGATATACTTAATGTGGGTAGTATGCTTTACCAACAAAAAGTTGCCAGTACTACTCCAGTCACCAAAAAGTGGAAAACCAATACTGAGAATACAACAAAAAGTGCATGTGCGGCACTGTGATCATACCTGAAGTGATTAGGAAATGATAATATTAGCAGAGTTCCACCAATCTCAACAGGGAGAAGGTTATCAAAAGTCTAAACCCTAAGTCATGAACCATTGTGATGACTTCAGAAACAACAAATATTCCGAAATAAGGAAAGTGTGTGGCAGTTCAAAAAGGTAGTTTTTATAAAAAGGAATGTCTTAAAAACAGATGCCCCTTGCTATGTAGACAGATGTCAGGAACTTGCATATTAATTTAGGTTTGGAAAATTACAGTAATTTTACCTAGCTGTCTTATGTATAAATATGAAGAGGTGGCACCACATATGTAGGGCAAACTTACGCTGCACAATATGCTAGAGTTGCAACGGCCAAAAGAAGGCTGCAGATCACAACAAAAGCAGGGTCGTCACGTGCCCATTGATTCTTGGTTTCTGATACCAAAAAACAATAAGAAAAAAAAAAACAATTACACTTCCTTTTGTCTTTATTTTATTATTATTTTTTAAATTGTTAGATGAAGTTCTACTTTCTGCAAAATAGGTGTTCGGTGAAGATAAAAACACATTTTCTTTTTTGCATTAAAAGATAAAAGATTCCTCCCCATACTGAATCATTGCTGGATCCAAGTACTTGAAAGTCCAATTAAGTTTAAAAAGAAAAAGAAAATACAGCATATATCATTGTTTATGATTATGACCAACAATTGATATCACCAACATCATTCATCACCAAATGTAACTCAAATGTGTTACTTATTGAATATTTTAATAAACGTTTAAGATATAACAGCATATACAAACAAGTTTGGAAATTATAAGCCACAACAATTACAGTCCAAATTATTCAAATAGCCAAGTAAAGTAGAAGCTGAGCAGAAATTATTGGACCAATCATTGTTGAAAAAAGAAATATACAGATCTATAAAAACCAATAAGATGTTCATGTGAAGTGAACTTACGTTTGTGATATTTAGTGTGCTGATAACTACATCCATCGTCCAGTTCCACATCAAGTGCATGCACCAGAAAAAGCAATCAGAAAAATGGACAACTTAATTACAAATGCATGGGATAAGTGGCAGTTTAGCCTTGATTGATCATGATGTGGATGTGTGCAATGGACAAGGTACAACTATCCCATAAAAAATGCTCATACTATTGCTGCGTATAATCAAAAGAGATTTACATAAATTTCAAATCGAAAAGGGGAAAGAGTAGAGATGATTTTATATACTTACACAACTTTTGGTGAGGTGCACAGGTGAAGCATTTGCCAGAAAGTATATTCAATATCCATTTGTTGCCACTGAAATAACAATAATAATCATAAAGGAAAAAAATAAAACAAGCAATCATTTCAATTGAAAGGTGATTAAAAGAAAATTAGAAAAGCAAGCGTTGCCAATTGTAACGCCATCCCAATTGTAAACAGTGTGTGTATGTGCGTGTGCGCGCGCGCCTGCGTGTGTGCAGAGAGAGAGAGAGAGAGAGAGGAGATATGCTGGATTTTTTGTCAACTAATAATTATTTTTAATTTTGTACAGAGCACACATGATCCTGCGAAAGAGGGCAGCATAGAGAATGCTTCAATAAAACCAGCTTTACTGTACCTTCATGACTTTCTAAAGTAATACTTTAAAATAGAAATTGCTTGAGCTAATGTAATTCAACAAAGCAAAATTAATCCAATAAGATCAGAGCTCAAGCATTTTTTTGGTAAATATATTCTAAGAATTTGGTTGGGATGCTCATAGTTCTCGAGGAGCACAAGGTCCAAATCAAATGTTCATCATAATAGAATATAAAAGTAATCATGAATAAACTGTTCATTTTGATACTGTTCAGCTCATTGTATGCATGGGTGGGTTAGCTCATGTTCTTTATCTACTCCACAATTCCCAGGGCATCTCATTGTAGATCAATTCCATTTGAAATTTGACAATATAAGTCAAAGAATAGGAAATGTGGGGGGCGTGTGAAGGGTATATTCTGTTGTGTTATTGACCCATGAAGAGCCAAGGCAGATCTATAGCAAGCTCGATACAAGGCACCTGAGGAAATCTCGCGGGAAAAAGATTGAGAGACTCTAGAAATCATTTCATAGTCTACTTTGTATCAATAAATACAAGAGAGAAGGAGAGGAGCAGGGGACGGGATGAAGCAATTATTTGCCAGATCATAAGCTAAAACATTTACTCATCCAGTGATATAACACGTACCCAGAATTTTATCAATGTTTTTATGATCGATTACGATAGCCGGTTTAAACTAGCAGAACTGAATCACAGATAAACTAATATGGAAGTACGGACCTCAAATCAAATAACAATACCAGCCTTTAGCCTAATCATTCACATCCAGGAACTTCAGTTGGACGAGTCTGAATTCTATGTTTTAGAGAAAAAATAATTAAAAGCTTGCATATCAAAGCAAGATTCATAATATCATTTCGCCAGCTAGTACCAGTATATGAAATCAACTGAGGAACAAGACAGTTGGATAATCCAGACGATCAGATCCACTAAAGGAAAGATAATTAAGGAGAGATAGAGAGTGAGAGGGGACCTTGACGATTCGGCGGAGATACTGAAGTAACATGGGATTAGCTCGAGACGAAGAGGACGAGGAGCGTCCTTTGGAGGCTGTGGGCAGCATCTTCGCTCGCTATCTTCTCGATTGGCGGAGGATCGAGGATTGTTCGAAAGCTATTGCAGCGATCCCCTTCTCGGACCTTCCCCCGGAGCTCAAATGGCGAAGGCGTCAAAAGGCAAATGGACGATGGCGTGGAGACTAAGAGCAAGATGGGCCGATTTCCTGGTTCAACATTCAAGCTGGACTGGATCACCAATCTCATTATTGGTTAGTGCTATCCATATAGTTGTAGGGGTTGGGGTGGCAATTCGGCCGCAAGTTTAATTCAACATAGTTAAATCTCAGAACATTTTGCTAAAAATAAAGTACAAATATGGACATTTATGGAGCAAATCTATAAACAAATCTCAATCCAAATTATTGTACAGGTAAAAAATCCCAAAGTATTGGGGGAGACTGAGATTTTTTTTTTGTCCGAAGAGTTATCGTGGAATTTAAATGTTTCATTTAGAAATTATACAAGTTTTTAATTTAATATTTATAATTATAATTTATAATATAATATTTTTCAAAAAAATTGCAAAAAAACTTATTTGTAACAAAATTTTGTAGAACCTAGTTGTTATTAAATAGAGGCAAAAATTATATATTTGATTCTTTAACTTCGAAGAAAATTTTACCTTAATTTTGCATTTATCTCATTTTTTAGCCCGACAATTTTTTTTTTTTTGGAGTGCACTTGACAATTCCCATCCCCCACGCCCACCTTGGCCTTGCCGTGACGAGAAGCATCTCGAAACCACATATGGGCTACAAATATGTTAAAAGAACCATGTGCGTACTGGTCAAAAAAAAAAAGCATGTGCGTCAATGGACCGTATAGTCCATGGGCTCCATCTTTTTGTTTTTACGCAAAGTGAGTTTGTTACTTCGACGGCTACCTAACATGATGGTCAACTCCACAACCTACAACTTCCTTAACGGCCCAACCAAAGCAAAGGATCATCAAATGTCGTACAGCACGTACAAACACCGTACCGTAATGCACCGGTCACCAGTAAATCAGGCGCCAATGCTTCGTTTTTGTGCTTTTAAAAAATTATAATATAATATAATTATTGGTCAAAAAAATTGTAATAAAATTATAATAATTATAAAAAAAACCATTAAATTCTGAAATCCAAAATTTAAAAAATTGAGGCCCGTGCATTCTAGTAATTAATTATGCGAGAACAAAATAAGTACACATAACATTTTTTTTTTTTGTGTCTTTGGTTTTATTTTGCCATTTTAGCTTCACTGTCGGGATAATGATTCATGGCTCCAAACTTGAGTTCTAACCCTACCAACTTTCCCTGATATTTCCATCTTCCTGATCTGTACAGCCTGAAAATAACGATTTCCGCGCCGGTGATCGAATTTAACAAACACCTTCGCTACTCCTTCGACCTTGGCTTCAGGAACTTTGGCTCATCAACTCTTAATAAACTCCAATCACTCTGCTCATTGTGCCTTTGAAACTCCCGCACTCACACCGTCAGGATTAGAGCACAGTCTATCATTATGTCCCGCCATGTAATTTCTCACTTCCTCCCTTATCATTTCCTTCATTACCATCAGCAAATCAGGCCCAAATGTCGCCATTGATGACAACTTCTCAGACTGCGTTGGCGCCTCGATACTAGAACCAGGATTCCGAATGTTCTGCGTCTCGTTCAACTCGGCTCCCAGAGGAGACAGACTAAGATCAGTGCACGGCTCTTTGTTTAAGTTGAAGATTGGACTCGGGCGTGACTCGACCCGCTGTGAAGGCGAAAAGATTATTGCGCAGTTTCTCGCTACAGGACGAATCGCCATCGAAGATGAACCCACAGGAAGACCTGAATCACTAACATCAGATCCTGATGGACTGCTTGGACTGTAACAATGGCCGCCCGACGGCAATGACTGTATCGGCATAACGCGTTCCACGGTGGCTGGTTTCTTTTCCTGAGGGCCATCGATTGCGGCGCCTTCGTCGGTGATCAAGGACGAGTACTTGCGCTTCAAGGTCGAGTTCCAGTGGTTTTTGATCGCGTTGTCCGTACGGCCATTCAGGAGCCTCGCTATGGTGGCCCACTTGTTGCCGAACTTTGAATGGGCCTTGATGATGATCTCATCCTCCTCCGGTGTGAAGGACCGGTGCTCCACGTCCGGCGAGAGCTGGTTGCACCACCGCAGCCGACAAGACTTCCCCGACCTGCCGGGTATTGATTTGCTTATGGCAGACCAATTCCGAGCGCCGTACCGTTGCACGAGCTTGCGCAACAACTCGTCCTCCTCGGGACTCCATGGACCCTTGACCCGATGCACGTCTCTCTGCTGCACCTCCATTGTTGCCGAATCTGTATCCATCGCGTCGATGATTAAAAAAGCCTCAGCTATAAAAGCTAACACTGAATCTCAGAAATCTACCATATAATTTCCGGTAAGCGAAAAGATAAATTTAAATTTATTTAAATTTAAAATTTTGGTGGATCACTGGAATGAAGCGGTGGAGAGGAAGAGAGGAGGAGCCTCCTCTGATGAAGAGGGCGGGCCAAAGAGGACTCAGATGGGTTTATAAACCGAGGGTTAGCGTAACAGACTCAGCCGGTTAACCAAAACAGGTTAGAGCCGTTAGGGCAACCGGTGCTTCTCAGTTATCGGTTTCCATACATTACAGCTGTATGAACCATCGGGCTTGACCACGCAGGCACGTAGGTATTGAAATATATAATTTTATATATAAATATAAATACATATAATTAATCAACCATATGTTTATATATTTATATGTTGGCCAATACCATTAAATGTTTATTGAAAGGTATTTCTTCATGATTTCTGAAGAAGACGTAAGATTTATGAAATATTATATTATATTATGAGCCAAATAAACTTATATTATGTTCTATATGTGATAAAAAAAAAGACACCGTTATACATATTTGGTTGAATAATTTGTTTGATAAAATATATTGAATTTTTTTTGTAGGAGAAGGAACTAAAATCTCGGGCGGTATAAACTGTAGTTAGTTAAATTAATAGATTAGTATACTACAGTGCTTGCTGTTTCAGCTCACCAAAGAAAAAAAAAATGCCCCCTTAAATCTCATTTATAAGACATATTTTAAAAATTTTTTTTATCTCATTTATAAATTACGATGTGAATTTTTAGGTAATATTTAAAAAAATATTTTTAAAATTATTTTCATGAAAAAGAAAAAAATAAAATGATATCACTTTTTTAATTTGTTATATAGATGTGTATTTAAAATTTTATATACTTTTATTTCTTATACTTTTTTTATATTGGTATTGATAAAACTGATAAAAATAATATGAAAAAGACTGGAGGAATACTCCATCCGTTAAAAAATATAAGAAATTTTTAACTAAGTTTCACTCCAATAAAGTAACTACCTGTATTTAAAATAACCTTATCTTTTTATATTTATTTTTATTTAATAATATAAAGTGATTTATTTTATATGATACTTTAAAAAAATAATTATACCTTAAAAAATTAAAAATATTTTATATTTTTTAAAATTTATTTTTTTAAAAAATATTTTATATTTTTTAATGAAAGAAATATTAATTACGACCGGGAAGGTTGAGATTTCCTAGCTTGACTGGGAACAGTTATGGGAGTTAGTAACTGAAGAGAGTGTGGAGGGATGTCACGAGGATTTGGTGCGAGATGGAGGGACGGTTAGGTTGGGATCGGGGCGGGGAACGAGTTTGACCGAGCCAGGCTGGAAGGCATATTTGTTTGATTAATGGCGTGTGTGGTTTTATGGGTTTGCGTGTAATTGGTGATTGGATTTTTGTTGGGCGCGGGTGGTGATGACGTGGAGAAAAAGACAGGAGTGGACGCGGAATTGGAGAACGGATCATTACTGACAAGTTGTCAGTCCAGGCTGTAAATCAGGCGCACGGACGATGGCAGCAACGGCCTTGCCTCACCGACACGAGGCGGTCACCAACTACCCCTGGATTTTGAACCCCCACATCGAACGGACACCTCTTACGGACGGTATTGCATATCCTCTTGCCCAAACACTGCGAAGGCTCTCACGTGCTTTTTCCTGTCATTTCATTTTAAAAAGCAGTCTTTTAGATAGAGAGCAGGCTCAACCGAGAGAGATGCGCGCACCCATTGAAGCCAAGAGTCTAAGTCCAGTTTACTTTCTGTTTTTAAATATAATTTTTTTAATGGAAGATTGGTCTTACGCAATTGTAAAGATATTTTCGACAATAAAAAATTAACAATACTTATTTTGATAAATGTTTTAAATTTAATCATTTTAAAAATTATTCTCATTTTTATTTATAAAAATAAAAACATTTTAAGACTGTTTTCATTTTATTCTTTTCATTTTTAAAATACATTACATTTTATTATTAAAAATTACGGTTACCTTGATCAACTATTATCATCATTGGTTGCCAGTATTAACAACTCATTATCAATTGCATGCTCGTTGTTTGAGATGTAAAATTTCACTTGAGAATTTTTTTTAATTAAATGATGTAATTAATATGGTTTGTGGGACATCTTATTAAATAAAAATAAATATAAAAATAATTTATAATTTTAAAAATAATTAACTAATTCATTGAAGGTATAATTTGATTACAATTGCTTTATAATATATTGAACAATGAAAGTATTTTTTTATTTATAAGTTAAACAACAAAAATGGCAAAATTTGTGTTCCGGAATGAGTGTCCAGTATGGTGGTGTTTATTATTTTGTTGGGAGATTTTTATATATACTAATATAATATGGAAACAGAAAACTCCAAGAAAATGGATAGAGGATCATGGCCCGTGGTGCAGTTGTGCAGTAATAGTGATTTATTAATGACGATGGCGTAATAATATATATGGGGAATGCAGGTTCGCGATCATGTGGCTGACTGCAAAATTGGACGAGACGGCAAAGTCTGACCAAATAGTGAAATAGCACGAATTTGTTTAACCAAAAACGCACTGCTTCTTCGAAGTTTAAGGCATTGGATTATGGGCAGCGCTTAATTGTCACGTGATTGGGAACCTACCAGGAATTTTCCTCTACAGATAAATTTATTATGTTTGCTTCCACCTCTTCTGATTCTTGCAGGATTTGATCCCCACCGGATAGCATTGCATTCATTTACAGGTAGAAATAAATAGTTTATAGGGTTATCAGCTGAGTTAGGTCTCTGATAAATCATTATTTATTCAGTAGCCGGCAAATAAAGCAGCACACGCATATATAGGTTTTCTTTGATTTCGTTAGGGCACTCTGCTTTTATATGCGGCCATGGCTTTCCCCCCTATCAAATGCTCTATTTCAACAAGTGGCGTACGCTTTTAAAATCATCCCTACATGTGTCCACCCCGTGAGAACAAATTAATCTCTAACTCTAAGATGTCCCATATATATATATATATATATATATTCACCGTCATTGTTATTTTCAAGCCCTGAATAATATGAGAAGTTGCACATTTCAATTGCTCCATTGGAGGTAATGATAAACTAAAGCTACCACCTACCTAGAGTTCTCATTAGCATGCGTTTGGCATCGAAGTTACCAGGCGAGCTTTTTGCTCACCCAATGATGAATCCGATACATTGTCAAGACTTACTTGATCATAGTGATTACGCATAATCTCAAAAAGCGTTGACAATAATAGCACAAATCTATAGCGTAAAATGAAAACTACGATCATTTGGGACACGTGATTCGGAGCATTGATCAATTTTAATAATTTGTTGCCTCGCCAGAAATATCACATACAACGATAAGTGATAACCTCAAATTATCTCTTCTTTTCCTGGTCTAAAAAAACGCGTGCCCTGAACGCTATAAAGCATACATTGTACTGTCACTGAATTAAACTTGTGCATATAATTTGTTTTCGTGAACATAGTATTCGTAACTTACTGTGTATTTTTTTTTTTATATACAATATCTAAATTATTTTGTTGCCCGCTCAAAACAGGCAACCTTTGAAGCAGGATTCACCCATGACTCATAAGGCTGTTCGTTGGGCCGAACAAGCCCAATATCCAGCCCTGAACGGACATGGTGCATGTATGTCGTTTTCACATGGAAGCCTCAAAGGGCAAGAAATCGGGGAGAGAGAATTGTGGATTGTTCCTCTCCAGCTTTAGCCCTCAGCATTTCTGAGTTCCGAGTCCTGGACGCTGCGACTCCTCAACGGCTTCTTCCACAGTCGCTTGCTTGCCTGAATCTAACTATTTTCAAAAACAATTGAAAATTAAATAAATCGTTCGCATTTTATTTTCTTCCTTTTTCTCCCACGCAAGCCCTAATCGCCATGGGAGAATCTGAACCTTCTTTTCGGATATCCGTTCACCAGGCTCTCGGCGGTGGTCTAGGTTCTCTCCTTCTCGATCTTTCTCTCTCTTAGCCACGTGACCAAATTGATTTCTCTGTGTTAGAGATAGTTAGGAAATGATCTTGCATTCCATCCAACGTCCTGCCTTGTTATTGGTCATCCTCATATTTAATGCTTTCCTTTGTTACCATTTTCTGCAAATCGAGATCGATTAATTTGTATTTATTAACTCTCTCAGTTGCGGACGTTTTGCTTTGGAAGAATTGGTGCGGAGGGGTTATGGTTCTGGTTTCGTCAACGGCAATGTGGTACCTATTTGAGCGCGCCGGATATAATCTCTTGTCTTTTGTGTCCAATGTTCTATTGCTACTGGTCGTGATTCTCTTTTTCTGGGCCAAAGCTGCTTCCCTTCTCAATAGGTATTTCCATTTTACTTCCTTGAAATTCGCAATCCCTTCAACCTATAGTCTTGGTGTCCTTAAAGGAAATTAATGAGTTTTTTCGATATCTTCGGTGGAAAAGATTGTTGCTATTTCTTCTATGTTTAGTTGAAAGGGGTAGGCTAGATGTAATCGCTTTGAAAGAAAATGTATCTGGATGCTTTGAAAATGAATCTTCTTTGACCGAGGTTTTTTTTCTTTTTTCTTTTTTTTTTCCCCTTTTGGGTGCGTTATGAAAGTTGCACAAGAGATTAAGTTGTCATTATCCTTTCTTCATTTGAAATTGTTTTTTTTTTTTTGGAAAAAAACTGTTGCAGACCTCTCCCTCCTCTTCCTGATATGGAAATCTCTGAGGAGTCTGTTGCTAAGGCTGCAGATGAACTGCAAATCTGGATCAATCGGGCTTTGTCAATTGCACATGAAATAGCAATTGAGAGAAATTTGATACTTTGCCTTCAGGTGCAGGGTTCAACCCCCCCCCCCAAAAAAAAAACCCAACTTTTTGTTTTTATTGGATGAAAATTTTTCCTTCACTTGTCACCATAACTTGATGAACTTCCCTTTTAGTGCAGCATTTACATTGACATTTTTTTAATGTGAGTTTTGAAATCAGATTACAGCTGCATTGTTGCTTATCTCCTTTTTTGGTAGTCTGTTCAACTTTCTGACTCTAGTCTATACCTGTAAGTTCTCTGCTTTTATAGTTTTGGTTAAACATCCATATTGCATTTTGAAAATTCTCTGCACGTTTATTTGCTTCTAATATTTCAATTATTTTCATACAGGCGTTCTTCTTAGCTTGTCAGTTCCTGTGTTGTATGACAAGTACCAGGACCATATTGATGACAAGTTGTATATGATACATAGGAAAATTCAGATTCAGTGTGGAAAATTAGACGGCAGTGTTCTACGCAAGATTTTTATACCTTCAAACAAGTTAAAGAAGATGGAGTAGGTAAGCGCATACCATCCGTTTACTTGTGTGCTTGATGCAGATAACGCATGTTAACGTAAAATTAACTCTTGCTTGATTATGTTGACAAGCAATTTGTCTACTAAGTAATGCAATGCCCATGCATGCGACTATGCAAGTATGTATCATCTTATTTTACTTTTGCCTCCAGTATGGGAGAATCATCATGCTAGGTATTTGTGTATCATGACCACCGAGTCTCATGAATCATGATTTATCTGTTTCTGACGATAATTTTCAACTGACAGCTCTATGCTTTTGAAACTGATGTTTAAGCAAAGTCTGACCTAAAGAAGAACAAAAAGAAAGTGTAATGCCATTGCCCATCTGTCTATTTTACACCTCATCAACTCCTCTTCGTGTTTTGCCAGTAATTTGTGCTTTTCTCAGATACGTTTTATGATGCCTTACCATAATAAATAAACTGTTATCACTATAAAAGTTTTATCAACTTAGAGAGCATATGACTCTAGTAGCAAGGACAGAAAATTAGAAAGATGTAAAAGAGGTCTAAAAAGGGTAATGAGCATTATCTAATTAGAAATTGAGAATGATCGTGTGAGTGTTTAATGTGTTATTTCTTGATAGTATATAATTGATGCTATATATTTTCATATCCATGTAACTTCCAGTTGCTCGTTGTCAAGACTAAATGCAATAGATGTTTTAAATAAAGCATCTGATCTGTGTGTTTTAATTCGTTAAGTGTGAGTTTTATGAATGATATTTTTTTTCTTTGTTCATTATTTATGAATGATATTCAGGGTGCAAGTGGATCCCTGAGCCTAGCTAGGGGGTGTAGAAATGGATGCTCAAGATATCAAGTACTATAGATTGTCCTTTTGCTGGGATGTTGCTGTTTATATTCATGGTTAGATGGTGTGTTAGTTCTTCAGAAGCAGGAGTTGACGAGTAGCTTTATAATAGGTGATGATTCTTTGTCTGACCGCTTATGTTTCCCTGCCGAGATCCTTTTTGTTTTTTTTTTTTTTTCAAATGAATTTTGACACTGGGCTTATCCTTAGAACTGTGACATGCATGGCTTTGGCTAAAAAAACTAGAGCTTGCTTGGCTTGGATATGTGATATATTCTTACTTGTCATAATACAACAACAACAACAAGCCTTTATCCCACTAGGTGGGGTCGGCTATTACTTGTCATAATAGTTCTTGAAAATTGATCATGTAAAAGTTCGTTGAGTAATTGCATTACTTAAAAAGGGGGGGGGACTTTGCTATTATTTTTCATACAGGGCACCATATAGCTCTTGAATTTATGATCTCTTTCGTACGGCTAAAGAATCATACCTTGTGCCTTTACTCTGCACTTAGTGGTCTACCCAAAAACTTAATTGAAGCATGTTCGCTCAAAAAAATTGGTCCTTCTCCATATTTGGGTTGGCATTGTTTAACATATGAGGATAGCACGCATTTAGTTGGCCACAAGTTTAGTTTGGCCATAATTGTTCCATATTCCACATATTTCCCATAAAAAACATTCGGCGGTCACCACTCCGTGCACTAGACAGTCAAACAGTTATACTAGGTAGCCACTACTTTTCTCATTGAAGATGACAGACTGACAGTCACTTGAAATATGTTTTTGCACTTCTATTATTGGCATTCATTGGCTACAAAGCCTTGACCTAAAAGGAAAAAAAAAAAAGTTAGTCGGAGTTGTGCACGGTTCCCAGCTTGCTCCAGCCATTGTGAATAAGTTAACCCGGATCTCCAGTTGTTTACGATTGATATTATGTTCAGAAGGTAGGTGATCTTTGAAATTGATACTCTTTGCTAAATTTATAATGTATTCAGACGCTTCATTAATGAAAAAATTTCGTGGCAAAAATTTAAAATTACACATCAGATGAACGCTTGTCATCACATGGCAACGGCTAGTGAAAAAGACTAAAATTAAAGGCGAGAATTTAAAAGAATTGGTTAAATCCATATCTGCTTCAGCCTTAAGGTCTGCCTTAGAAATGCAAGTCAAACGAATCATTGTACAAAATGAAATTCAATCATTGATTTGCGCGAAATGAGTCTCCGATGTTAAGGACAAAAATAGTAAACAACCTGTCCAACGTTTCGGGGAAAAATATATAGCGTGTTGGGAGCTCCATATGCAGTTGCGTAGACCGACATTTTAGAAACGCATCATTTTGTAGATTTTTACATGTGCATTGAAGCGAAGGTAACATTGCCCACCGTTTCTGGCCGAAAAAGAAGATTTGCACACTTGTAGCCCGACAGTGAGGACTTAGGATTACTACCTTAACAGCAAGATTTTCTAGAATTGCACAAGACGGTAAGCACATTACGTCTATGGCATTACCAAATGTTTAACGCATGACAAGAACTCTCCCATCAGACAGGAAAGCCAAAAAGCTCGCGTATTTTGTTGGACAACCGAAAAACTGATCCAGAAATGAAATCAATTATTGAATGATACATATACTTTCTGAGTAATGTTCTGGCATTGCTTCTACATGAAAAGCTACCATCATGTTGGAACACGAAGACATAATGCGTGAGATCTAAAATGGTAACAAAATTCATCACGATAATAACCACTACAAACGAGGAGTATACATATTTAACTGTAATTACATCGTATTCGTCTTCTTCCATGCCTTATGCAAGCTTGGGGATTGGAACGCCTTCTGAAGGAGGCAATGTAACTGATCGCAACAACTCCAGTGAGAAAACAAGCCCAAGGAAATGAGAAAGAATTGTGTTTGCTGAAGCCTGCAAGTCAAACAAGGACAAAACAAATGTTCAACAGCACAGCTCGTTCCACTAACTTATAGGTTTTTGAGTCTCTTTGTGACATTGGAGTGCAAAGAATAAATACACGGCACCAATAAATCAAACATGGGCAGATGGCTACTGCTTCCGATGAATTCAAGTGAGTCAATAAAGAAGCTCTGAACACTGGAATTTATTCACCCAAGTGATGGTTGCAATTTCTAGTTTTCTACATTCATATTAGAACCATTTGGGTCATTAATGTAACAAAATATTACTATTTCAAGGGTATATATGTTTTCATTCACCCATACATGCAAGAAGCCCCTCGGTGCTTAACTAAATGAAAAGAAGACCGAAATCACATAAAATGAAGCCAACAAAGCAGAAGGTAACTCAAACTAGCACTTGCTATGCCAAACATGCACGCCCACAGCACAAAACTAGCAGAATTAGGCCAGGTGAACCAGCACCAGTTGAGATAAGACATATGCTGGAAGTAGAAGTGCAGATGAGTTTTTCTGTGATTTTGACCTAAGGAAGTATCTCTAAATAAAGAAACAAAATGAGAGAAAGAGGGATTCGACTTTAAACTCTAGGAGATGACCAAATACACTATTATAGCCACTCTTGGAGCTTTTCTAAGGGGAGATATCAAGGAGAGACACACAAAAAATGTCATTCCTGCCAATCAAACCTAGGTTTTTCTTTCCATTTCTCATCAATTTGATGTTTAGGGATTTTAGAATTATGATTTTATGGTATCTCTCATTTAGGTGTTGCTAAATCTCCAAGCTAGAGGCAGAAATGTAGCTTAGCTTTGGATAGTCTAATTGAATAATGATTTTGTGACTCGTGGGTTTTGATCCATAGTTACATATGAACAAGACTCCCTATTGTATTCTTTTTCTTTTTAGTGGCAATTCTTGTTAACTATAGGACTGGCAACCATGTAGTTACTCTTAGAATGTTTGCAATGGACTGAGAAGTGAAGCATAGGGCTATGAAGATGGACATAAGCAACTTAGGCTGGATATAGATGTAGGAGTTTGTGATGGCTTAGGATCACGGTTTAATGGATATGACTAACATGGTCATTAGCTGAAAGATGATTATTGATTAGTTAGGCACAACCTATTAGGCAGACAGATTAGTAGGATACAATCATAATGACTCTCATTATAACTATTAAAAGTCCAAGCTCATAATCTATCCCCTCAACTAAGTGAACCCAATTCCCTAGTGCTGTTGCCAATGATTGAACCACAATTTTATGTGTTAGTGCCTTGGTTAGTTTTATTCTCTTCTAAACTCTATTTAGTTTTTTGGTTGAAATTAATTATAAATGTGACTGTAACCTATTAGGCTCAACTCTAAACTACTTCATGTAATTTATTACTATGATTGACCTTGTACATTTGCAGGATTGTACTAATCACTTAATTAAAAAAAAAAAAAAAGTAGTTGATACTTGTTAAACAAATAGTTATTTGTACACAGCAAACTGCATGTGTCATTAGATCATTTGCCATTAGCCCACAGTTCAGCAACATGACTAATTTCAGCTAAGATTTTTCTCATATTGCTAAAGGCCAGATAGTAAAAGCTAAATTCTTAAACAATTAGAAGTTATTGGGCTGCAAGTATATCTAAGATACTGAAGCAAACCATGTGTGATGCTCTTTCCAATATGTCAATTTAGCTATTTTATCTCAATCATATTGTTATTGAAGATCCAAGTCTCCAACTATCATATTTCACTTGGAAAAAAATAACAGGTTATATCAGTAGTCAACTTGAACCAACAAGTTTTACCTGCACCAAAAATACATCCAACGCAAGAACAGGGTTGTATCCAGGAGAGATTCCCTGATAATATGGGTTTGCCGAGGAAGTCAGAGCCTTGGCGACCAACAATCCAACAGTGGCTTGCATGCCAAGAATAGCAGCACCCATTCCCAAAATGTTCAGTACTATGCCATTCTTCAAGCTCTTTACTACATCAGCCCGAGCGGGAGCCTGAAAGCACAAGAAAAAGGTAAAACTATCAAGTGACACTCACTTAACAGATAAGACATCATGTTTGACAAGAATCATTGAAATTATCCCTTGTCAGCCAAGAAAGCCACCTCTGAGGCACCAGACTATTAGGAGCAGAGAAGAAACGAGGTTAACGTTGCCTCATCAATTCATTTTCTACATGTCAAGAAAAAGTAAGATTCCATGTCTCGGTGACTCTAAATAGATGCTTCACCTAGTATATCCAAGGCTAGCCAACGAAATTCATGTAGGGAGGCTTTGATCCAAACATAAAGGCGAATGCTGCTACACAATACAATCTAAAAAGCATTCATGAAAGCAAAGTTGAGACAATTTTATATAACAATCGAGTACTATTGCTGGGATTACCGTTAATTCAGAAGCATGACATACAGCAGCTAATACGGTCTCCAATATTCAGTATTTAAAAGCATCAAAGCTCCATTCATATAAAACAGTACCTTGGTAGGCTCATTGGCAGTTCTTTGAAGCTTTTCAGATAGCCGAAGATATCCAAAAGACCAGAACACAGAAACAAAAGCAGCCGCTATTCCACCAGCAGTAGCATAAAACGTAACTGGAGATGTGATCTTTCCGGTAACAACAACAGAAAACGATAATATTACAGCAGCCACAACGGTGCAGACTAGCTGACCCCAAAATCCTAAACTACCCAAACGCTTAAAATACCTCGCCGTTTTCTCCAGTCTCTTAGAAACCTATAGATCAAAACCACGAAAATTGTCATGTTACACATAAATAATTATTGCAGTTGCATAAAATAAACTACATTGATCACGGAAATATTCAACCCTAAAATGGAATTTAAATTGGTCATGGAATGATCCAGAACCACGAGTCAGTTAACTCATCGACTAAGCTCGAGGAATTCAAAGACGTACCCCAGCGAGATAGAGATAGAAGAGGACGGTGCGAGAGAGGGAATACCTGAGCAAGTTTTGCTTTCTCTGATTCATCATTGGAGGGAGTGAAAGCAGTAGAAACCTCGGAAGAAGCATTTACGTGGAATGGGTGCTTCACTAGTCGATAGACAGAACCGAAAAGAAAAGACGAGGAAGACGAAGAAGCCAGCGACTGGAAGGGTTTGAAAGAGGGGACAGAATGCAAGGGCGACGGATTCGGCCTGCGAACAAGTCGCGGGAGCTGAGGTGGCGAGTTGGCATGAGCTGCCAACGAGACCGGCGTCATCGCCGTGAAAATGCCAGCGCGAGCAGCCGGCGAAAGTAGCGTTTGCATTCTTACCGCGACAAGGGAAGTATCAGGTGTTGCCTACCTTCACAAGGCACTTCCCCGAGTATATTTGAACCTGTTCTGCTTCTCGATCTCCGACATTGAGTATGCTGTTACTTGTTTTGGGCTTAAAGCCCAAACAGAGAAAGAAGGACGCCCATGGGCTTTAGTTGAAGTCCAAGATCATAGTCCAGAAAGCCCAAAACCTGACCTTACCGTCCTGGATCATGATTTTCGAATATATTTACCGCCCTCTTTTATATTTTATTTTTGACGATAAATAAATCAGTTTAGTTTAAATTTTAAAATATAATTGGAAAATATTTTAAAATTAAATTACATGATTTGATAAAATAAAAGGACAAAATATTGACGTATTGAGGGGCTAGTAGCAAATTAAATTACTTGTGAAACAAATTTATCATATTGACTACTCATACTTAAGGACACTAGTGAAACTCTTTAGAACAGATCGTTTGTTAATAAGTTTAATAATCTAAGGACCAGATTATGAGTTTCTTCATCTTAAATTCCAAAGTTTTTCGTGCGATCGGAGATGCATGAAGGATTTTGTTAGACACGTGAGCGCAAAACACTAAACTACAGCACGTCATATTAAGAAGGGAAAGATGCCTCTGGACCGTCAATGCTTCTGTTGAATGACATGTTTGGATTATTGAATTAAAAAAAAAAAAAAAGACATATTCGGATTGAAATGGAGGCTCCCTCCTGCTATTATAAGATTTGATTAGAGCCAATGATATGAATTTGAATCTTATATTGTCAATATTCACATCATACGACAAGTACTTTGTTTTTTCCTTCGTTTGTGTCTGTCACGCCTCTTCGTTTCAGAGATCAGAATGAACATTTGAATCGCACAGAGTTCCAACAGATTTCATCCAAAAAAGCGATAATAAATAGCTGTAAACAACAACTAGGGCTTCGTTGAAAAGAAATTAGTTTGTTGGCATGAGATGTATTGCCCATAATGATGTCCTGTGTTTTTTGGAGATAAGGAGGACAAAGAGAATCGTCCTCCATGGGGTCACGAGGGAAACTCCATTCACCAAGATAATAAAAGCCTTTTTGTCTTCGACCCCAGAATCTTTGATGTTGTTTCTTGCTCTGATCAGACGCAGGTAAACATGTAGCCAACGTCATCATTAATCGGGGTAAGTAAACAGCCCATGATAGGTAATTTTGACCTGCATGAGTTCTACACAGTTGCACGCTTCAAAAAAAAAATTGCTTTCATATATTTCAAAAATGCCAGGATAATTCACCTTTTCTCTGGTTCGGTTTCTCTTTTACTACATTTAAGTGTCACTGAAGGGAATCGGAACCATGTGATGAGGAGCTTTTACTGTGAGTTTCACCACAGGCTGACAGAGACCCATTCTGTGCAGTGCATGTGAAAGCTAGGGGATTAGGGTTTTGCTTATTGTTTTACGGGCGTTTCCAATGATTGTGCCGTATGAGAGAAGAAGAAGATGCTCGCCCTTATCCTTTTTGGGCGGAGATTTGGTCCAAGTTGAAGGACAGTTACTGAGAGAGAGGCCTTTCACAGACTGAGAAGGGGACCACGGTTTCTAAGTTCTGCACAGTTTTGGAGGAACATGTAAAATTTCTGTCCTACGTTACATGAGTTTGCCCAATCATGGCTCAACATCTTTCCAAAATAATCATATAAATTAATAATGCATGTGAACTTCAATAGTTTCGCCCCACTACTCATCCATCTCTGACGTTCCTTTTCAAACAGAGAAAAGTACATGGCAAAGAAAGAAAATCCATACTCATGTATAGAATTACACATGCACATGCCCTTGTGAGAGAGAGAGAGAGAGAGCCAGTCAGTTGTGTGTGTGTTAAATTTTGGTAATTAATGTAAAAATATCGGAGTGTTGAGTTTTATTGCAGATTGCCTCTAATAACAAAATTTGTGCATAATAAAAAGAAATAATTATTTTATCTTTCATTTCTTTTCCCTTGTTTTCCGACAGATGAATAGATTAAAGAGAAGATAACTAAACAACTAATCCTTTTTCCCTTTCTTTTTTTCCTCTGAACACCCTCACAGATACCAAAAAAGAGAGAAAACGGGGTCCAACTTCTCCATGTGTGAAATGTGGCAATGAAATCATAACTTCCCTCTGCCAGACGCCAGGCTCTGTGAGGTTAAGATCATAATTTTATAAAAATATATTCAAATAATCAATATACATTGTAAAATCCGTCGAATTTACTGTGAATGAACGGTTGTTTCAACAATAATTTTTCTCATTAATTTTGGTGGACCCTACACATATATTATTTTAACAGTTGTTCTTGTCTAGGGTCTATTTAATTTAAAACACAAATCTCACGTCCAAAACACTTTACCTTCTTTTATCACACTTTCTCATTGCTTAACTTTGTCAATTATTTTTAACCTAGTGACCCCATGCATTGCACGGGCTTAAATACCAGTTTTATTATATATTACAATTAATTATGAATCTAAAATTATATTTTTATAAAAATATTTAAACACTTATTATTTATGTTTAAAATAATTTTAAACTCAAAATCATGTTTCTTTAAAATTTCTAAATGCCTTTATATATATGTCAAAATCAATTATAAACCTAAAAATATGATTTGTAAAATAATTTATATAATTTTTAAATAAAATTTTAGAAAAATATAATTTAAAATATGAATTACAAAGAAAGTAATAATAGTTTATGAAATAATCATAATTTTATACTTATAATTAATTTTGGCATGCATAATAACACGTGTTTTGATATTTTTTTTTGAAAATATCATTTTGAATTTATAATTAATTTTAATATGTAACATAAGTGTTTGAATATATTTTCACAAAATCATAATTTTATCCGATTTCCAATTCTATTTTTAATTTAGCTTTTTAATTTTATTTTTTAATTTTGATTAAAATCAATATCATTAATCAATTATATAATATCACATAATATAATCAATTATATTTAAAATCAATCATATTAATAAAAAAATTTTATAATCAATTATACTTAAGTGAAATTGAAATACACCCTCTCATCTTCTTTCTATGATAATGGTACTGTTTCTGCAGTTTAAGCTTCTTCCAAATTATTGAATTGCCCTGTGAGATTGTCCAAGTTCTATGCTAGTGCCTTATTTGAACAGAGGCCCTTATTGCTTATATTAACATATCTCTTGGTCTTGGACAAAGCTCAAGCCCTGAGAAAAAGGTAGTCTAATGTGAATGGTTTGTCTCTTCCCACAAACTATAAGCATTCTCGGTGAAATATATATCACAAAATCATGTCTAAGTTAGTGAAAATGAACGATGGCAGTTAATCTGGTGGCTGATATTTTTTCTATACGTTTAGCTAAGTTCTGGTGGCTTTCTTCACATAGCTGTTAGACCTAAATTGATGATCCTCATGACAAATTAATATGGAGTCAGGATTATCCATCACATGTTTCTTAAATCTTCTGATGGCCATTTAATATAAAACACAAAAGACGAAAGAGGATGAGAAGTGGATCAGTTTTTTTATAGATTATTATAATGCATAAGTGCGGTCGCTCCAAGTTTAATAAGAGTTGAATGTTGCAATCTGCAATAGCACGGAAACTAGCCCCCAACTACTAGCGCTATCTCGTGCAATTCTGATGGTTCCCATATGACACAATAAAGCATAAATGTTTTTGTCCAATCAAGAACTACTTTAATCAGCCAATAGAAATTCGAAAGGATTGACATACAAGAAAATTTATCATTGTTAAGAATCCATTTGTTGATGCAGTAATTAAATTTTCACTCGCCCAAATGGTGGGGAAGGAATGGATTCCAACTCACTCGGGTGTCTTGTAGTTTCAAATGGACTCATCATCTCTTTTATATTTTGCCAGTCATGACTCCCAATATCTGAGTTTTCTAAGCATAACAGCGAGAGTTGGCAGAGCTGTACCATAAAACTTGCTTTTATTGTCTTTTGATTTGTTAGGTTCAATTCGTCTTTATCTTCTCTTTCTGCTGTTGCTCTCTGTAGTCTCTACCCATTCAATCATTTCGGTTTCCTTACTACCACTTTGTCTGCTTCACCAAGTACAATGCAGATAGTAGCAGCTCGTAGAAATAGTTCTCCATTAATTCTCTAGAGATTTGGTCAACAGAATAAGGAAATTGCGGTTGTTCACCATTTCCGTTTTGCTCCTCTCTCCATTCCCTTTTTCTGCACGATGAACTCGTAGCTTCTGCCATTATGTTTTATCACTACTGCCACCACAATCATCTCAAGGAACCATGAACTTCAACTCCAAGAATTCTCGTTTGGGGTGTAAAGTTTTGTTCTTTCATTTTCTTCTTCTTCTTCGGTCATTTGCTCTGAACCCTGATGGGGTTCTCTTGCTATCCTTCAAGTATTCGATCCTCAGCGACCCACATTCAGTCCTGGAAAATTGGAGCTACCGCGATGTGTCACCGTGCTCGTGGAATGGAGTCACGTGTACGAACATTGGAGGCAAGTTTAGAGTGACTAGCTTGGCTCTTCCCGAAAGCAAGCTTCTAGGTTCGATTTCTGAAGACCTTGGGATGATCGAACACCTTCGAGAGCTTGATCTTTCCGACAATTTCCTTAACGGGTCAGTACCCAATTCTATATTCAACGCTTCTGAGCTTCAAGTTCTTTCTCTAGCCAACAATGTCATCTCAGGTGAGCTATCTGAGTCGATTGGTCAGTTGAAAACTCTTCAACTTCTAAACCTTTCAGACAATGCCTTGGCTGGTTCGGTCCCAAACAGTCTCGTTACTTTGAAAAATCTTACCTTGGTTTCTTTGAGGAGTAATTACTTTTCTGGTAGAGTTCCAAGTGGGTTTCACTCTGTTCAGATTTTAGATTTGTCTTCGAATTTGCTTAATGGGTCTTTACCCGATGACTTTGGTGGGGATAGCTTGAAATACTTGAACCTCTCATACAACAAAATTTCCGGAACAATCCCACCAGAATTTTCCAAAAACATACCTGGAAACTCCACAATGGATATCTCCTTCAACAATCTAACGGGTCCAATACCACAATCTCTGGCGTTGCTTAATCAGAAACCAGAGTCACTTTCTGGGAACTTTGATCTCTGCGGAAAGCCCCTGAAAATTCTTTGTTCTATTCCTTCAACTCCTTCAAACCCGCCCAATGCAACCACTTCATCAACCCCAGCAATCGCAGCCATACCCAAAACAATTGACGCCAACCCCGAAACAAGCGGTTCAGCAACCCCCAACGGGTCACATAATAAGCCTCCAAACAGCCTCAAACCATCCAGCATAGCTGGAATCGTTGTCGGCGACATTGCCGGAATAGGCCTTTTAGTCGCGATAGCTCTCTTGGTCTACCAACAACGAAAGAAAAAAGATGCTCAACCCGCCGAAAATGTTATCAAGACTACATCGAAACAAGACCCGGAAATCAAAAAGCCCACAATCCCCTGTTTCTGGTTAGCAAATGACGACAAGGAGACATCGGAAGCGACGAGCTCCGACAGCGACCAAGAGAATAGTAATGCGAAGATTGAGATGACGACCGAAAACGAGAATCTCCGGAAAGAAGGGAGGCTGGTGATGATGGACGGAGAGACGAGGCTGGAGCTAGAGACGTTGTTAACATCGTCAGCGTATATTCTGGGAACAAGCCGAGGGAGCATAGTGTACAGAGCAGTGCTGGAGGATGGAAGAGCGTATGCTGTGAGGAGGATAGGCATTGGAGAATGCGCGGTGGAGAAGATGAAGGATTTCGAAAACCAAGTCAGAACAATCGCGAAGATTCGTCATCCCAATTTGGTTAGGGTTCGTGGATTCTGCTGGGGAGTGGATGAGAAGCTCCTGATCTGTGACTATGTCCCCAATGGAAGCCTCGCCAACCTTTGTCACAGTAAGTCTTTTCGTTCTTTTTTTTTTTTCCGGCCAACCTTAAAGTAACTCTTCACTGCACAATCTGCTTTGCAATTTTATTCTTGTGTTTAGATTGTAACCCCGTTAAAACTAAACAAGTTTATTATTCTTCATGATATTTAATAATGACTAATACTAAAGTGAACAAATTATTCAGGAAGAACAGGGTCGTCGCCCTTGAGCTTGTCGTTGGAAGCTCGGCTGAAGATAGCAAGAGGAATAGCACGAGGCGTAGCTTTCATCCACGACAAGAAACATGTCCACGGCAACATTAAACCCTCCAACATCCTTTTTAACTCTGATATGGAACCCGTCATCACCGACTTCGGCCTCGACCGCCTACTTTGCAACTCCAACAACTTCAACCTCAAAGCTAACAGTTCGTCTCGCCAGCTAGCCAACCATACCCAACAACAACAACAAAAACAAGTACAAGACCAGCTCCCTCCGATGGCTTCGTCCTCTTCTGGTGGGACCCACCCACTTCCCTATCAAGCACCAGAGTGGTTCCAAAGCATCAGACCCAACCCAAAGTGCGATGTGTACTCCTTTGGCATCGTCTTGCTCGAGCTTCTCAGCGGGAGATCTGTCTCGGACTTGGACATAGGCCAATGGCCTTGGTGTGATGACGTGGAGGAGGAGAGGAATAGGGTGCTGAGGGTGGCTGACGTGGCCATAAGATCTGAGATCGAAAATAAGGAACGTGTTATATTGGGGTGCTTCAAGCTGGGGCTTAGCTGTGCTTCTCCTGTCCCTCAAAAGAGACCCTCCATGAAAGAAACTCAACACATGCTAGAGAAGATGATTCGTAGCTAATTGACTCTCCATTGCAATCATGTATCGTAGCCCCAGGCATGAATTTTAGATCAAAATTTCTTAGCTTTTTCATCTATATTCTTGTTTAATTTAAAGTTGATTTAGAGCCTGCACGGAAGAAGAAAGATGACCATTTGTCCATGTGAGGAAATCATTTTACTTTTGATTGCCGAGTGAAATACTTTGTCTGTAACCTGTGATCTGAAAGAAACTTCCTCTGTTTGTCTCCTTGGATTTCACAATGACTGCCAATAAATATTGACAGCTAGGCAGGAAAACCTTAAAAAATTGTAATCTGAGGCGGTGATTGTTAGGACCTAGGACGTCCAGAGGTAAACGCATGGTGTGTGGTTGATGAAAGCTTCTGATATCTACAACTACTCACAAGTCACATTATAGATTGTGACCGCGCGTACAATGTGAATTCTGGTTCATAACAAGGTAACATTTAAACAAATCATCGATGAGACAGAGATCCGTTTGAAGAATTTGTGTTTGCTTGGCTTCTGGGTGGTTGAAGGATCACAGCTGTTTTAAGGTTGCTCATATAATGTGGTAGCGCTTTCGGTTTGAAGTGCTTGCTCAAACTAGTCTCCTGCTAATGCTCTGCCTTTGGCAGTCAGAAACCTTGGTTGGAAGATTATTCAGATTTGTGTTCTTTCAATGCCTGTCATCGCAAACACCAAACTTAAGTTTACAGACACTAACAAAGAAGTCAAAGAAACAGAAAGTTCATGGCGTCCATATGCGAAGGAAGGATTCTTCACAAACATCAGATCCAGAAAGCTCCACAAATTGGATGATATGTGGCAACCTGCGGCTGCCTCCCCCAATGGACAGATGTGCCTCTACACGTAGTCCCTGAGAGGGGATGGTCTTTTAATGAAAGTGACACCCAATAGGGATCCCAATTTGACCTTTTAATAAATGAAAAAAAAAATCTCAATATGAAAGTTAACTTGGTAGAGGAACCATAGAGCGAATCTATGGTCTGGTCAAAAGGAGAGAGAGAAAAAAAAAAAAAAACTAATATGCACAGAAGGATTCATTCGCAAGTTAGTCTTATTTTCGGTCAACAGAAACACTTTACAGTAAGCACAGGACACCAAATTCATGTTAGTTATTTTCTTCTTCCTTTTTTTTTTTCTTGGATACAACGGAAACTCAAAAAAAAGCAGAACAAATTCGTGTTAGTTATTAGTAGAAGATAATGCAGTAATTCCGGGACCAAATTAACAGTTTTAAGGCAGCAATTATTGAGTCAGGGCATTCCTGAGATATGACCAAATGTTGATGGAGCGCTGTGGGGCAATTTGACCATGATACTGCAACGACAACAAAATATTTACCAATATGCTTTGCTTTTAAAAATATTTTTTCAAATACTACAAATTTTAAAAGTTGACTTCAAGGACACTGAGTTCCAATTTTTGTTCTACGCACAAGCCAAATTTTGTACGATTTTTTTTTTTCAAAAAGTGCCAAGTTCTATACTTATATTTTAAAAAAATAAAAAATTGATATGACATGGGTAATAGATTATATTTATTATAACTTCACCTCTAGTTGTATTTCATAATTTCTCTTTCTTTCTTCCCTTATTGTTAAAGCCAATAATTCAAGTTAAGCTCAATAAATTAATCTGAACCCACCTGAAAAAAAAATGTAGGGCTAATCTTGAAAAAGAAATTTTATATCTATGTCTATTAGCCCAAATACCCAAATAAAAAAATTTTATTTTTTAAAATATATAGAATATAATTAAATATTAATTAATTTTTTAAATTTTATGTTATTTTATATTAAAATATTATATATTTGAGTCCTATACATCATTTAAGCATCAAAAAATATATTTGATACTTTTTATAAAAAATATTATTAATTATACCCATAATTAAGAGTATTATTTTATTTTTATTTATATATTACTCATAACATTTTCATTAGAATCAAGAAAAAAAATTACAAATCTCGTTAACTTTAAGAAAATTAAGATACTTGCTTCCTCTGTTTCTAGAAACTTGTAGTTCAGCCTTGCGCTGCCTTCTTTTGGTGTTTACGTGGGTGTTGCACTTATCAGATGCTTCCCTTCATATTTAGCACTACATGCATAGGCTAAAAGAGAGCTAAAACTTCCTAAAAAATATTAATTAAATATCTAGACAATAAAATTTAAGATAATTAAGGTATTGCGCCCGAATACCTGAACAATAAAATATAATTAAATATTAATTAATTGTCTTAAAATTAATGAAATTTGTAAGTTTTTTCTTGATTTTGATAAAAATATTAGGAGTGATGTATAAATAAAAATAGAATAATACTCTTAATTATGGGTGTAATTAATAATGTTTTTTATAAAAATATAAAATATTTTTTGATATTTAAATGATATGTATGACTTAAATATGTAATATTTTAGTATAAAATAACCTGAAACTTAAAAAATTAATTAATATTTAATTATATTTTATATATTTTAAAAAATAAAATTTTTTTATTTCAGTATTTGGACTAATAAGCACGAACATAAAAAAATTATTTTTTCTAAACTTAGCCCTACATTTTTTTCAAGCGTGTTTAGGTTGACCTATCAAGTTTGACCTAAATTATCGACTTTAATGACAAGGGAAGAAGGGAAGAGAAATTATGAAATACAATCATATATTGAGATGTAGTCATGATGGACATAATTTGCTACACATGTCGCATTAATTTTTTATTTTTTAAATATAAGTACAGCCAAGTTTTATACTTTTCAAACAAAAAAATCATACAAAATTACTGTTGTGCAGAAAAAAAAAACTCCATATCATTGAAGTTAAATTTTAAAATTTGCAATATTTGAAAAAAATATTTTTAAAAGTACAGTATATTGGTAAAAAAAAAAAATTGATTGTAGCATCATGGTCAAATTACCGTGCTGTGGGCTTTTTGCCTTTGTATTTTTTATTTTGGCCAATGCTAATCTCTTTAAAGGTCAGTTCGGTTGAAGGATGGGGGAGGGGGGGGGGGGGGGGAGGGGGCTCCCCTCATCCAAACACACCGTAAATTGTTCAATCGTCCTGACGTTGAATTTAGGTTGAAGCAACCATTCAAAGCACAAAACTTTCAGGTCCAAATCTACATCGAGAGGCTGCTTCAGATACCAAGTCCTCCTCCTAAGAACAGATCCTGAATCCTTCGCCTGAGAAAGCCATGTCAACGATTGAGACACAAGGACAGAGCGCAGACCCTAGTGTGTTGAAAGCCATGGAAGTGAGCACAGTTCCCGATCTGAACCCTTCCGATCTGAAAATCTTTATTCTCTCCGGCCAAAGTAACATGGCCGGCCGAGGAGGCGTCATCAGGCATCCTCACAATCACAAGCAATGGGACGGCTTCGTTCCGCCGGAGTGCCGCCCAGATCCCTCCATCGTTCGCCTCAACGCTCACCTCCGGTGGGAACCGGCCGCGGAGCCGCTACACGCCGATATCGACGCCGCGAAGGTATGCGGCGTGGGTCCTGGCATGTCGTTCGCTAACGCTGTGAGGCCGCACGTACGGGGAGGAGCATTGGCATTGGTGCCGTGCGCGGTGGGCGGCACCGCCATAAAAGAGTGGGCGCGCGGAGAGAAGTTGTATGAAGAAATGGTGAAGAGAGCGAGAGAAAGCGCGAAGTCGAAGCGAAGCGAGATCAAAGCGTTACTATGGTACCAAGGAGAGAGCGACACGTTGGTTGCGCATGACGCCGAGGCTTACGGAGTCCACATGGAGAAGCTCATCCAGAATGTTCGCGAAGACCTTCATTTGCCTTCGCTTCCAATAATCCAGGTGACCTTTTAAAAAAAAAATTGTATATTGACTTTCTTTATTTTCAATCAAGAAGTCTAGTCACCATTTTACTGTTACATAAGAGTCAAGATATTTCAACCAAAAAAAAAAAAAGAGGAGATTCAAAAGGGATGCAAACGTGGTAGCTTGTTGCTTGAGCCATGTGTTCTGAAAGTCAACACTTTGAAATGATATTAATGAATTATTGATATAATTGTGAGTGAAATGTGAGTTTGGGATGGACACAGGTGGCTATAGCGTCAGGTGATGAGAAGTACATGGAGAGAGTGAGGGAAGCACAGAAGAGTATTAATCTTCCAAATGTGGTTTGTGTGGATGCAAAGGGATTGCCATTGAAGGAGGATAATCTTCATCTCACCACGGAGGCTCAAGTTCAACTGGGTCAGATGCTCGCCGGTGCTTATCTTTCCCATTTTGTTGCAGTACCGTGACTGATTTGTTATGTCGACTTTTCTCATCAGCTTTCTGATTTTCTGTCTGGCCTTTTGTTGTGTGGGGGAAATTTGGTGTGGATAGTTCAAGCACAGGAATAAAGGAAATTTGCATTTGACTTGTGTGATTCAATGTTAATTTTATTCATGGTGTCTATGTTCTTCGATCAAAATCCATTCTGAAATTCAAATCTCTGAACTTACCCATTAGAAAGAACAATTCAGTTTCTTCCCAGTTTCCAGTTTGAATCTCAACTGTAAAGCTTTTGGGATACTGAGGAAAGAAAGTCCAAATCTGTAAATATTCTTTTTAAAATAATTGTGATGAATATTTAAATACATGTGTATTCTTTTTTTTTTTTTTTAACCAAGACAAGTGTATGTATATTAATCTTCAAAAAACTGGGCCCCCCGAGGTCTCCTTGCTATGCTGGCTCTGTCCATGCGCATGCACACGTTATGCTTGACACTCATGTGCGTGCTCTAACACGAGAAATAAAGGGGCAGACGCAGATACAGATATTATATATATATTTTAACATTTTTAATTATTCTCTGATTACTTTCATGATTTTTTAAATGCATTCAATTATTTTTTTAAAGTACAAGTCCGATGAGCAGTAGGAGGTTGACAGAATCAAAGCACCCAAAAAAAATAAGAATTAAATTTTTGTCTTATTCCATTTCCTTCCAAAAGTTGTCCCATCCCATTTAAAATTATAATAGAATTGAGACAAGATTGGGACATATCGTCATCTAGATAAATCAAACGATGTGAAAGAAATGTATGGATAATAATATTTATTAAAATTTTAAATTACATAATTTATTAAGTTTAAAATCAAAATAACATGAGTGCATAAATTATAATAATTTAAAATTAATTATTAAATTATATCAATCATAACTATAAATGTATGACACATCATGATAGCAATTATCAATTATCTCTGGGCTA